GTTCGTGTTGTCATTGAAAACTAAACCACTACTGTTCCTTGATCTTTGCACCCAACTATTTGAATTGCCGACCTCAACCGGCTTTTAAAATTGGGGGCCATCTTCTATACTCCCTCGTCCTGTAGAAAAGTTTAGTGCCCATGATTTTGATGAGGATGTTCCAATGGAAACCTCAACACAGCACATTGGAGCAAGTGAAGAATCTTCGGGGCGTTCAAAAAATAAGGAAGTTGGTGGAAACAAAAGGGTTGGTGGAAAAAAAAAAGATGCAAGGGCATTAGAAGTTGAAGAGGAGATTGTCAAGCTTGCAAGGTAGTTAGTGGAAAAAAATGAAAGAATTGAAAAAAGTGAAATGGATAAGGATGTTGATGCATGTATGGAGAAATTGAACAAAATGGAATAGGGAGAAGAAGATGAAAGACACAAGACCGCTCTTTTTCTATTTAGTGAAAGTGTCGATGTTAGAAAAGTCTGGTTACGACTTTCGTATACTAGTTGTGAGTCGTGGGTGATGGGTGCGGGTAGGAAGTATGGTTACCTTTGATGATGTTTACTAGTTTTTGTTGTATGACTTTTTGTTATTTGCATAACTTTTAGATCCTATGTTTGATGGCTTTTTTGGATGTTACTTTGGATGATGTGTACTAGTGTTTTTTGTTATGTGACTTTTGTTACTTTGGATGATATTTGGATATTGAATATGACTTTTGTTATTTACTAGTTTTTTGTTATATGACGTTTACTATATGACTTTTGTTATTTGGATATTGAATATAACTTTTGTAACAGGTCAAGTATGGTTTCTGATGGTGAAGTTTTAGCTTTTCTTTTACTTGTATTTTATTTGTTGAAGTCAAACCATCGCGGGCTAATCATAATTCATAGAATTAGAGATAAGGATTCAAGTGGATATCGCGGGTTTTCTTTTACTTTTCTTTTACTTGTATTTTATTTGTTGAACTCCTAACCCAACAAGATATAACTCGGAACGACATAGACAGTTAAAAAATATTTTTTCCGGAGCAATAGGTGCATTAGATGGAACTCTTATACATGCGGTTGTAACCGTTGATCAACAAACTCGTTATAAAGGAAGAGGAAAAGGAGAATGTTTTCAAAATGTAATAGGAATTTGTGATTTTGATATGATATTCACATTTGTTTGGGCTGGATGGGAGGGTATAGCACATGATTCAAGAGTTTTGAAAGAAGTTGCCTTTAATTCGACTTCTGGATTTCCATTTCCTCCACCAGGTTTGTAATCTTTATATAATTTTTATTATCTGTCTTCTTTATATAATATGTGTCATTATATAATAAGTCACATTCTTTTGCAGATAAATATTACCTTTGTGATGCCACATATACAAACACTCGTAGGTTTATGGCACCATACTGCAATACTAGGTATTGGTTAGCCGATTTTCGAAGATGCAAACCTTTAACTAGAGAAGAAAGGTTCAATTATGCTAATGCACAACTTAAAAATGTTATTGAGCGTGCTGATGGTTTAATGAAGGCGGGATTCTCAATCTTAAAACAAATGGTTCTTTATCCTTTTACAGTGCAAAGAGACATAGTCATTGCTTGTGTCGCGGTCCATGATTTTATAAGGAAATACAATATATAAGATGACTAGTTTAGAAATTTTGAAGAGGACACTATGGTTACTCTTGACGTCCAAGGTGGGGGAATTGATAACGAAAACATACAAGGCATAAAATGGGGTCCAGAAGCCGCTGAATATATGCGTGTTTTGCGTGATCAGATTGCAAATCGACTACTTTCACCTACTTTACATTAAATTATTATGTTATTTTAAATTCCATTATGTTTTTATTTGGATATTAAATTATTTATGTTTAATTTACATATTATATGATATTTTTTATTTGTGTGTAATTTACATTTTGTATGAAAATATGTATGTTTTTATAATTATTCAGCAACTTAATCCATCACTATATATAACAGCAGGGTAAAATGATCATTTTTTATCACTCAACACATTCAGTCAGATGTACAATCAAACAACATGATTTCTTACCCAGACAGACATTTCCCAGTCAACAGCTATCAAACGGGGCCTTAGTTCATATCTTCGTCCGGAAAATGGCGCATACATCTTTTTAGATCTATAGTATTCTAAAACACAAATGTAAAAACTAATGTGTACATGACATATAAAAGAGACCAAAAAATTCTGCACCACTTTAAATTATACAAAAAAAAAAATTAGGATGTTGTTATATATACCCCTCACTCACTTAAATTGTTACATCATGAGGGTATATATACACTATTCCACTCAAAAAGAGAAGGTACACAAAACAATTTGGAATGACACATGTAGAATTACCAAAAAATTATACGTATTTTAATCTAGTTTTCTTACTCCTAGAGATAATTACTTAATAATGAAATCTTAAAAATCAAATTTCATGGTCAAAACATGACCGATTTTTTTTTTTAAACCATTTTAATGTTTTATGATTTATTTGATACTTTAAGTTGGACAATTTACAATCGGAGTTTTACCAAAAAAGTGTTTCTGAAAAAATATTTAATATATAGGTATAGTTTCAAAAATATTTACCAAATATGTGTCGTTTCAAAATTTTATATTTTTTAAAAACTTTTAGTTTTTATTTTTTATTTTTTTATTTTTATTATAACTATTTTTACATATTCTTTAAATATATATATTTTTGACTTTTTTGTAACTTTTTGTTAATAATCTTATCAATTTTCTTTAGAAACCTGATTATAACAAACAATTTTTTAAATCTCAACCAACAATAAATATTTGCAAAAATCAACAAACAATTTGGTGAGATTTTAATGTTATGGGTCGAGTTTTGTAAAACGGGATATTCAATTTTTTGCTTGCCGTTTGACTTGACACCCCATTTCTTGGGAGATTTTCTTTTCACAAATTATCAAATTCAAAATAGTAATTGGTATAAAGCTTTTAACAAAAATTATCAATTTCAAAATAGTAATTGGTATAAAGCTTTTAACAAAATTCTATTTAGAATAGTGACCTGCAGCCGTGACATGAGGCGTGTCAAACATTCTGTTAAGTGTACTATTTTTCGTGACTGAAATCCGCCATTGACAAATGCATCTCCACCTACATTAGCTTCAACTCCATTCTTAAACGACTAAACGAGTAACAAACAAAACTAAAGGCCACATCTTTGTATGTACTATATTCAAAACAATCCCGTTTTTTAAACCAAGAAATGATAAACTGACGCACACCTCCAATGTGTCTTTTAGGAAAAACATAAGTTTTTGGTTGACAAAGTTTTTTAAGAATGTATGCCCTCCTAACAACATTTCGTTGATTTGGAGGATAATCCATAATGTTTTTTCTTTTTCCCGGATCATGAGGAAGAAGTTCAACATCATAAGCTAATTCATCATCCTCTAATGATACTCTAATGATACAATACCAACATCTGAACCACCCAAATCTGAATCAACCGGTGAAGAACATTGAGTGTCTTGAAATTTCGTCTTTTTTAACATAAATTGTCGAAGATCAGGTTGTTTTCCCTTTGATTATTTTTTTTTTTGATATGGATGGATTATTCATTACTTTTTAACAAACCCTAACATATAAAATTAAGAAAATCAATATCAATAAGCAATAATCAATAACAGAAACATTTATGACACAAATTAATTTGATATTCCTAAATATAATTTTCTGAAAGCATATAACAAAAAGGAATTTTAAAAAACATAAGAAGGAAAAACATACTTGATGTATAATAAAGATTAAATGTCAATCTGTCTTTGCGAACTTGCAATGAACGATTTGCACTTGCCTGCAAGGGTATGAAACGAACAAATTGGAATGGAAGCTATTAGGCAATCAAGGCCTACAATAAAATAACTATTATTCTATGAAATAGATGCGGATCGTTTCGTTGGGCTCTATGGATTTAAATATATAATCAATAGATACAGTGTTTATGAATTAATATATATATATATATATATATATATATATATATATATATATATATATATATATAGTTAGGTTCATGTGAAACGGTCTAATTTTGTTTTTGTGAGACCGTGAGACCCAATCCTAGCCATTAATTTATTAAATAAAACAAAAACATTTTTAAAATGCAAAATAAGTGAAAATTTTCGAAATTTATTTTTTTTCCAATATTATTTTTGGAATATATATTTTCCAAAAAAAAACCAAAAAAATAAATACAAAAAAACTACATTTTTTTTACATATTTTAGTAGAATATTCTACATATTTGGCACATCTAGTGGAATATTCTAAACATTCTAGAAAACATATTAAAATATGTACAGTTTAATATTTTATTAAAATATTTCATGTATTGTTAAAAAAACGGTAATTTTTTTTTAAAATTTTTTAATTTTTTTTTAAATTTATATTTAGTTAAATAAAGCTCCGAAAATAATAATTAAAAAAAGATTTTTTGGATTTTTCTTTTTATTTTGCATTTTAAAATTATTTTTAGATTTTGTATCAAAATCTTACAAAATTAGCATGATTTCAAATGAAGCTGAACATATACATATATATATATATATATTCTAGGTTATTTTATTTAAAGTAGTTATTGTGTGATTGTATGCATAAATATAGACCAATCAAATAATTAATTTTTAATATAAAATGATTAACATTAATTTGATATTAAAAAATGGAAAAAGCCCCACATTTAAAGAAAACAGATGAATAAGGGTTGTGTACATATGTCGTCTCCATTAAAATAGGTAACTGATTATATATATCACAACTTCCCCCATAATCCCTATAACATTGCATGAGCCCGGATTCAACTCCCCTTTGTATCGGAACACAAAATCAAAGTATATCTTCTCTAATTAACCAAAAAAGCGGTAGATTTTGTTGTTGTTTTTATATATACTGATCGATTCTTGAAGATTGTTCACAAAAGTTGCATTGTGATCGTTCGAAGTAAAAGAAATTGCAGTATAATGAGGAGTACAAGGTCGACTTCTTTCAAATCGAGATTTAATAACACACAGCAAACAGTGGTGAATGTAGATGAAGACGATGATGATTTTGTTTCTCCGCCTATAGGTAAAAAAAATTATAATTTTTTTTTTTTAACTTTATCGTTTGAATACACAACATTCTATTAGAATGTTTGAACAATGAAGTATTTGCATATGGTTTTAAAGTTGGTTTAAGTAAAATAGACCGAAATTGTGTAAAAATGGGGTATTTTTTTATTAGAGTTTTCTGAAATTGAGGATTTAAAATTCGATTAAAATTTTGGATTTTATAGATATGTGAGTGTTGTTTTGCAAAAAAAAAAAAAAAAAAAAAAAAAAAAAACAAAAGGGGGTTTGTGATTGTTGTTTTTGTTTTGTATTTTGGAAGAGTAAAAAGATGTTGTTTTTGTTTTTTTTTTCATTATTTTGTCGATATTGTTAGAGGTATTCTGTTAGAATGCAATGTTGTTTGGTGATGTTTATGTGTAATGCATTATGTCAGAATCATAATACTTAAATTCTTGTATTTGGTTGTTGTTGTGTGAGTTTAGAGGGTGATAGTGTGAACCTTGCCAAAATCTTATAAGTGCTTGATGTTATGTGACAATATGTGATGATATTGTTGCTTGTTTTGTTTGTTTGTTTTTTTTTTTTTGTTTTTTTTTTTTTTGTTTTTTTTTTTTTTTTTTGTATTATGAGTTATTTTTTATTTGTATATACTATTTGAATTTAATTCTTAAAGAATCAATGTATGTACATGTGTTTACATTCTTAAAGAATGGAAACATAAAAAGTATAGATAACGACTTTACTTTATTTGTATTTACTATTTGCCTTTAATTCTCACAAAAAAACAGTATATGTACATGAGTTGTATTCTTAAAGAATGAAAACATTAATGGTATAGATAGTGGTTATAGAGATTGAAGTATGGCTAGTTATTTTGAAAAATATTATTAATGGTCTGCAATCATTTGATTCATTAGTTCTTGCAGAACTTGATCTGGAGCCAATTAATGTTGATACTACAAGCCAAACAAATGTGAGAATAAACTATCGCACCAGATCAATACCGGTGAAAGATAATATCATTTCTCAACCTACAAGTAGTTTTTTTTTGGTTCATGAAAAATAATAACAATAATTTCAGAACATGTTGATAGCCAATATGTATTTTTTGTTACTTAATGAAGCAGAAGGTGAAGGAAGTGAACCAATTCATATAAATATCGTTGGATCAAACAAAACAATTGAACAGAGGAAAAAAACTTCAAGATCAGAACATGGAAAGAAAAATGTAGAGTCTGGAAAATCAGGTGAGATCATAAGTGCTTCTAATTAATGATTTATAGTATATAATTATGATATGGCTAGTGTAACATTATGTATTGTATTCAAGTTATAGTACAATTTGTAATCGTATACAATATAATTCTATGATAAATGGTTTTAATGTAAAAATTATGACAAACTTAATTATTAAATTTCGAATATATATTTAAATTAGTGATACTGGGTTATTAAATAATGTGTGTGTAATGCAAATGAGTAGACAATGAGTAATTATGTTTGTGTGATTCAACAGCTAATAACAAAGATAAACAAGAGACAATAACTATTGATAGCACAAGTGTAGGAAGGATGAAAAGGAAATGTTCTGCAAGAACGACACCTGCTAAGGATACTAAGAAATCTGCAGAAGAAAATGTTAAAGGGAAAAAACCAAGAAGTTTAAATGAGTTACTTATGGAGAGTATGAGTGGGTCAAAGAGAGACAATGAAAAGGTAGAAATTGGTGTGGATATGGAAGATAAGGAAAATGTTGTAAAAAGAAAAAAGGCAGTGAATGATGCACATTCAAAGAAATCTCCAAAGAGAAAGAAGGGAAAAATAGAACATGAGAATGTTAAAATCAAAACGGTGGAAGGGAACATTAGAAATGTAAGAAAGGACCACCAAGAAGGTTATAGAAGACTTGCAACTAGGATGACTCCTAGAAAGGTTAGTGTAACGACCTAAAAATCAAGACTAAAAATTTCTTTTGAAATATTACTAAAATCATATTTATTAAACATATCACCAGTCATAACATAAATTCAGAGTATTAATTCTGAAACCTATTCTTTTCATCAGAGTAAACATCCTAGGTTGTCTAACTATGGTGTGTGCATTGCAATCTTCCCGAGGTCCTCCTTTGAAAACTGAGTCCTGAAACCAAAAAACTAAAACTGTAAACAAAAAGCTTAGTGAGCTTCCCCAAACTACCACATACCATACAATAACATATAAAGCACATACTAGGCCTTGCCCACTGCATTGGACCAAGGTCCGACCTAACTGGGGCCATGCCCCCTGCATCGGACCGAAGTCCGGAACTGATTGGGACCTTGTCCCCTGCATCGGACCGAAGTCCGGACTAACTAGGGCCTTGCCCCCTGCATCAGACCGAAGTCCGGAACTGACTGGGACCTTGTCCCCTGCATCGGACCGAAGTCCGGACTAACTGGGGCCTTGCCCCTGCATCCGACCGAAGTCCGAAACTGACTGAACATAGCATAGCATAACATATCGACTAGCATGAACACATATACTGCATACTGCATCGGGTCGTAGCCCGGAACACATAACACATAAATCCTGTCTGAGCCACGACGGCATCAGACATACTAACTACTGCATTGGACCGAAGTTCGAAAACTACTGCTGACTAAATGGGCTGCCATTTTGGCCTTAGACTCATTCCTACTGGAAGGAAAGTCACCTGCACCGCTGAAGTTCTTGCTAATACCCTTCTGACTGCTATCAGACCAACTATCGAACTGTTGTTCCAAAAACTCCTAAATCTACTAATACCAAATATAACACTTAGTCCCAAACTGCCCTTCAACGGTCAAACTAACTCAACTCTGGTCAAAATCAAAGTCAATCCTCCAGACTGACTCTACTCGCTAAGTCATCCCGATGACTCGTCGAGTCCTTGCACTCTGAAAATTCTTAGAACACGACTCAACTCGTCGAGTCTAACGATCTCCGAGTCCTATCCTACTCAACCCACATAGTCACCTCCCGACTCACTGCTTTGAGGCTTAACCAGAAAAGGTTTGAGGTTCTGCGACCAGACTCGCCGAGTCCAAGAACAGACACTCGATATCCCAACCCTAATTGATCTCTGGTGCCCTAAGGATTTTTACTTGGGTTGCGTACTGACCCGATGCCTTCGATAGTACAGGCCCAATACTACCGACCACACCGACTCAGCATTCTCACCAAGTCCTCCTCCTAGAGCCCCAAATCCAAAGTACACTATTCTCTCTAATCATGTGCTACTCACTAGCAAAACTCTCATAAGCTCCTTGCTGCTATCTCAACACTCTCAAGCACTCCTAATAGCAAAATCCCTAGACTAAGGCATCATATATCAGACCACTCTAGTCCTAATAAGAATACCTAGTCTTACTCTAGCATGCATAATATAATTCATATAACATAACATTTCTTTTACAACTTATTGTAAGGGTATTTTGGGAAATCACCGTTCGGGCGCTGGCTGATCGTACACACGGTCCTGCTCTGCCTGTTTCAAAACTCTTTTACTCCTTTTTCTTAATTTTTTTTGCTTTATTATCAAAATTTTCCTCAGTTCCTCA